CCTTGTCAGGGGCGCTACCAAAAGTTACCCACTTTGCCTGCCTGTCTTTCTTTATTCTCTCTCTCTCTCTCTCTCTCTCTCTCTCTCTCTCTCTCCCTTTTGTATCCTTTCAGGGAGCCCACAACAAACTAAAATACGGATCAAACCTGTTAGGATCCAAGGAAGCCCCCAAGAAAGATCAGCAGTCAGGTATGCAATTTAGCAAGAGCTTTTATTTCCAGCATGATAGTGTGGCAAATAGCAACCCCAAAGTGGGGTCACAAGCTCCTTTTAAGCAAAGTTAGAGGAATTCCAGAGATGAGGGATTAATCTGATGCTGATTGGTGGAGGAAAGATTAGTCTGGGAGTGGATTGGTGAGAGACTGTAGTGGTTAGGGGCCCATTGGTGGTGGGGGGGCGTGTCTAGTGTCTAGGGGCTTGTTGACGAGAGCGTAGAGAAAGCTATCTTTACCTAGCAGAGGTCTGGGGGACATCTGCTGAGGCAACAGGAGGCTGGGGAGGCACCTGTTGATTGGTTGCCCCTAAGTTGTGGTTTTCCTGAAAACTACTTGCTCAGCTCTAGCCCATTCTAGTGAACAGAAACTAAGGCCTGGTCCATGCCAAGGCTGTTAGGGCCCTGGCTTGGCCATCCAGTCCCTGCAAAACCAAAGTCCAAGTTGGTGAATCAGTGAGTTTTATTGGGGTTGCAGAGAGGAATGTGGGGGAAGAGCTACTTACAGGGAGCAGAAATGACTCAGACAGCTGCATCACCAAAGCCCACCCCAGAATGGATGACCGCTCACAAACCGGGAATGTGGAGCACACTGCACATTCTGCAGGCAGCTCAGCAGGTTGGCGCTGCCCTTTCCAGGTGTCTCTTCCAGGCAGCTCTGATGGTTTCTGCTAATTCTAGCAGTTGGTCTGGTCTCAGAGTCATCTTTGCAGCTTCGATTGTCTGAGTCTTCTTCCCAACTTAGCCCTAGGCCTCTGAGAGGGACTTTCCAATTTTACTGCTTTCTCTGGCAGGGAGGGCCAAGTGAATCTAGTCAGTTTCAGGGACTTCCTGAAGCTATTTTGAGTAGTTTACCTTCCTGCTTAAGGATCTCCCCTGCAGGCTGGAATGTTTCTATCTCTAAGGAAATTGGTACCCAGGTATTCAGTTGCTAATGTTTTGAAATTCTCATTTCTCTGTTCTCAAGAAGCTTCCACCAAATTCCTGAGGATGGGACTCCTCTCCAGAAGAGATGCACTGAGCCAAAAAAAAAAAAAAAAAAAAAATGTTGCAAGTCTTAACCTTCTGTGAGCTGTGAGCTGTACTAAAGATCAGTGAGGAAACTGGAGGGAGCTGGTGTGCATACAAGATCAAAATGTGGAGATCAACTATGAGTGGGACTGGTTTGCTGCCTGGATGCACTCTGAATGATCAGCAAATCACTGTGCGTGCAGTATCATGCATGGAGGCTGTTAACATTCAGGATGTCTGTATTTTTTATTTCTTCAGTCATACCCGAATCCGTATCAGTTAGCAAATTTCTAAAACTAATTTCTGATCAGTTTACAACAAGCAATCTGTACAGACCAAGTAGATCCTCCTAAAAGCCAACTTATATTCAAAGAACAAGATATCTAACTTATCTAATTCAAAGATAAGGATTTAGAAGCAAGTAGATTCTACTGTTACCACACAATCATAAAAATTAAAAAAAAATGTATTTGGTTACATAGTTTAGGTAACAATTGCTGGGGCATCCCTGATAGAGGAAAGACATGACTTAAATGTGTGCTGCTAACTCCCAGAGAATCACTGTTAGCCCTTTATATGTATGTGTTTCACATCCACAAAATCAACCAAATAAAGATTGAAAATATTCAGAAAAAGCAAATTGCGAAAAGTTTCCAAAAAAAAAAACTTGATTATATTGTATGATAAATACTACCCTGAATCCATGTGAATTAGGTCATAAGGTCATAACATTAGGTCTTATGAGCAACCTACAGGTAACTTAGTGTATGTAGGGTGATGGGCACTATTTATATAGAATTCTACACCACTATATGTGAGGAGGCCAAGTATGCAGAGATTTTAGCAACTGAGGTAAGCTCTGGACTGACCCTGAGGGATGTGTGCTCAGCTATTACGACTCCTGTGTTTCAAATGAAGAAACTATGGTGCAAAGGGGTGATGTGACATGCTGGAGCTCATGCAACATGCAAATAGTGAGTTGGGAAATGAAGTTAGGGCTGTGTCTTTTCCAAGGCATGCTACCGATTACTCCAGCTTTTCTTATGAGCGATTTGATCTGGCTTTTGCATTTTCTTTTCCCCAATAAAGCCAGCAAGAAAACCTTGTAATCACTGTTAGGATACAACAGTGAGTACAACCCGAAGATTAAAAAGCAGAAGAGCTGCAGAGTTGCACAAACAAATGCCTACATGGAACAGTTCGTTAGAGGGATTTTACATAGTAATTTGAAGGAAAATAAATTTAAACCCAGGGCTGGTGTGATGGTGTAGTGGATTGGGTACATGACCTGGCCAGTCTATGATGCAAGCCTGATGATCGAAATTTAATCTCTGCATCAATATAAAGATGAAAAGAGAATTGACTCCACAAAGTTGTCCTCTGATTTCCACATATACTCTGTGGCATACTCCACATACACACACACACACACACACACACACACACACACACACACACACACACACAATAATGAGATGAATGTAGAACTCTAGGTTGCAGTGGTCACAAAACCCTGCTGTCCCTGCAGTTCCCGAAGTCTCTGTAGAGTCACACATTTAAACAAGATCAGAAGCTAGCAGCAAAGACTGTGATATGCTAAGTGACGGCTTCATCACATGGTACTGCAGGCAGATGGTGTGGACAACTGGACAGCTGGACAGCTGGACAGCGAAGGAGTAGAGAACTTCTTAGAGAAATGTTTCCATCCCCAACTTTACTCTTAGCCACATCTCAGGTAGGATTTCATTAATCCCATAGTGGAAAGATGATTAATATGAAAATCATACTTAGAAGCATTTCTATATGAAATGTATATATCATGTTATAGGAAATTGTGATGAGCGACACATAGGTGGTCCTTACTGTAAAAGAATGAAATTGCCATTTTAAAATCCTTTGTGTGAATTTCTCCATATACCCATCTATTCAAGTATTGGTTTTCATAGATACCTAGGTTTCAACTAACGATGATAATACTAAGCCTTCGGAGGCTTCAAAGCATTAAACTATGTAAGCAGGACTCTTCAGTGCTGTTTTAACCTACACCTCCTCTCAGCTGAGTCCATTATGAGCTCTATGGTGCCACTCACACTAGGGACATGCAGTGGACTTATCTTGATGAAATGCTTTGTAGTGGGTTTTATTTAGTTGTATGTTTGTTTGTTTGGGTTTATTCTACCAAGCATCCATCCCAGAAAAATAACTGACTTTCTGAAGGCTGATCTTGATGGGAAATATCAGTCGCATGTGTCTCAATTATATTTATACTCTTTGCTCCCAAACAAACTCTGCCTAAAACTAGAATTTTTATCCATCCTCCCATTCGAGCCTTTAAGGGCTGAAGATTTACACTGGCCATTTCACCTCTGAGTCACCTTCCCCTGCTTTGATGTAATGCAACAGAATGAGGGCTCACATTTAATTAAACAGGAATCTGGATCCAGCTGTGGGCCATGCAATCAGTCTTTGTGTGAGCAAAAGGGGTGGAATGCCTGGCCCATAGATCATTGCTGAGTGGAAATCTGCTCTCACTCAAAGCCATCCGCAGGCCACTGAAAATGATTTTCCCCCTGTATAAATGACTCAGCCTCTGCAGCTGTCCCCCTGTCCCCAGCTCATGAAAAGAAACAGAATGGCTAAAAAGCTTGATTTGTTATCTTCCTGTAAGTGCCTTTTAATCAAAGGAGGTCTGCCCTGCCTGTTGATACACCAACATTTCCTTGTTGGCTACAAGCAGCTCTGTAGATGTGGCTGCCATTGCATGAAGTTTTCCCACATGCATCTCTCCAGATAGGCGTAATTCAGTTATCTGATACACTCCACGCCGATTCTCTGGAGACAGCTTTTTAAAAGGTAGATTTTTTGCTGTAATATGATGTCATCTCTCTTTCCAAAGGTATCTGTTTGATCTTTCTGACTTGTGGATGGGTTTACCCACAATACCTATCCTTTTTTATAATATAAAGGCTACGAGAGTCCATTTGTTACAGAGACAGATTAGCTTTAGTCAACGAAGAGTCGAGATGTGTGTTTTGCTTAGACTGCGGAAAGTGGGAAGAGATTCATTAATCTGGGGCAGTTTTCCAACAAGAAGTATATAAAGCCCTTGGGCCTACTCAGAGGAAGGAGGGGTAAATATGAATGCTGTGGTCTGAGTCTGAAATGTTCTCCCCTGCCCTGCAGTCTCCTGATTTGAATGCATATGTCTCAGCAGGTAGTGAGACTTTTAAGAGATGGAGCCTTGCTGGCAGAAGTAAGGTCATGGAAGCTTTTGAAGACTATACAGGTCCAACACTCTTTGCTTCCTGATCTGTGGTGATAAGATGCACCTCAGTCACATGCTCCAGTTACTGGGATCTCCACCAGATGTTCCCAGACTCTATGGACTGAGACTCTCAGAAACTAAGGCCCAAAATAAACCTTTCTTGCATAAGTTGTTTCTGACAGGTATCGTGTCCTAATAATAGAAAACAGACAAAACAAACTTATACAGCTCAGTTATTATATGCAGTTTAGAAGAAGATGGTCTATAGATAATCTGGTTGACAGACATAGAGCATCTTCCTTCCAGAAAGGCAGGGGATGGGAGTAGAACAGGATCAGGGGATGCTACCTTAAAAAAGAGAAAAAGAAAAAATGAAGTATCAGACTTTCTCTGGCATATTTCTCTATATAATTCTGCAAGCCAAGTAACAAATTCCTGTTACACATGGAAAATTTGGAACTTTTCACACTGAGAATATGGATATATTTTCTACAAAAATAAATAACTTAGTTAAAAGCCTATTTGCCTCAAATTCTGCTGATTGCTGAAACTCACCTGTAAGAGTTAATAGAAAGTTTAGTACATTAATAAGTAACTTTGAGAATAAAACTCCTCAGGAAACATGACTTCTATCTCTTGGAATGATACCCTTCCTCAAAGATAGTACAAAATTCTCACTGAGATCAGCAGTCCTCAGCACTGAGGCACACCAATTCACAACAGGAAGCTTCAACAGGACAGGGAGGACCTGTACTTCAGGTCCTGAGGAGGTCCAGGGCATTAAGCATGGCTATTTGGTCTCCATC